ACTACTACTACTACTACTACTACTACTTGGCCGGCCGGCCGGCCGGCCGCTATGGCCAGCCGGCCGGCCGGCCGCTATTTGGCCAGCCGGCCGGCCGGCTGGTCGCGAAATAGCAGGCCGGGTTGCCCGCGCTGTCCTGGTCTCACCATCTTCTCAGCTCCAAAAGCCTTGCGTGGTCGCCCCCCAGCGTCGCAGGCCCTGTGAGAGATCACTACCCGCGCCTTGGACGGTGGACCGGTCAGAGGTCCCGATGGGGTACGGGACGAGGAAGAACATGGGATGGAAGGTATGGAGTTTGTAGTGCATATAGTTGTTCAATTCTGAATTGAACATGTCATGATCGCAAGTCAAATCGATGTGCAACTCGATCTATCCGAATTCGTGGACGTGAAGTGTCCACTGAAGGCAGGAAGTTGAAAGAATGCTCGAGACTCTTTGACTACGGGGGCTGATGTCGTCAGTTTCCACCTGGGAGATGAACCACGACTTAGACACAGCGCAGATTTGTTGGCAGCATAGACTCAGCATGCTTGACATATTTTCCTCGATCAATTTGACATATGTTAACATAGTTGTGTATTTTTTCGATTGCAATAGAACCTTCTTGATCCTGCACTGTATCCCAGATTCTTGCAGGCAAGGGGGTGAGTCATGTTGACGCAATTGGTCAAAGCCCAGAGAAAAGCGGCAGTATTCAAACCGCTGATCCACATGTTTCCTCGCTTTCATCTAGACCCTGCCCGAAACTAACATAGCCTCCGCCTGGAACAGGACAATCATTTTTGAATCAATCCCTCCTGACTGGCAGGGGTCATGTTTGTTTTTTGTGACTGTGAGACAAGAGTGTTCTTCTTTCGGACTTTGTTTGGTTCGTTGCACTGTGCGGTGCCACCCCACCTTTCGTCCGGATCTCGTTCGACCCCCCATTAGTATCCGGACACTGTCAAGTTCAAAGCCATACTGTACCCACCAGGGAACTGCGAAAGCCTCTATCCTCCCCTTGAAGGAACTTTCAACGTCCGGGTGGGTGCACACACGTGAAGAAAACACACTGGCTTCCAAGCGATGTGGCTGAGCCTACGGGTGGCTTCATCGGTGAACACACACACACACATGTTCATCACATTCCCACCATCCAGCACAGTCTGTCTTTGGAACGGACGTGTTCCTTAACCATCCCAAACTTGTGGAGCTCTGCATGTGGACCTCTGCACCGAAATCTGAAGGTGGTCCTTCCAATTCAGTATGGGCATCTTGAGCTTGTCCATTGGATCGATCTTGGGCCTCACCTCCGCCTACCAGTCCTTAGTGCCTCGGGCGGCCGTCTCGGCCTCGTCCCACGGAGGGACATGGTGCCGGTTCCGAGCGGCGGACGAGCGATGGATGACGAGACCACTGAAGTTGAGGGTTGTTTGGAAGTATCAGGGCAAGATCCTGTGTATGTAATATACTATAATATACTATATATACACATGCCTGGAGAGGGGGAGCATATCTGCAAGGCCTGGTTGTGGTAGATCCTCGGTTTGACATAGAGCAAGGCCTGGCACATGGCTCCAGATATTATGCGTCTAGATCTGTGGATGGCTATGGCTATAGCCGTAGATGTGACATGCCAGTCTTGAATCGAAGGGACACTTTGACATCTCATGATTGTGGGTTATTTCGGCCAGGACAGAGTGAAGTTGGTGACCCACGCAGATATACATGCCACTGTCGCAGTATTCAATGTGAATCTGTCCAAGCCTGCCCTCAACTTGTTGTTTGATGTGACCAGGGTTCCGGTGTATTTTTTAGGGGGACAGACAATGTCTAAAGGACAAATCAACATGTCTTTGGGCAATTGTCCTATTGTTCCAGCGGACAAATCATAACAACATCCTAAGATGATGTTTCTCCCAGGAGAACCTTGTTTGTTTGAACCATCCGAAAAGAACACGGACATCCCTCTTTTCCACCGTTCCTGAATTCAGGTGAAGGTCCTATGAGGATGGCGCGACGCCACTCGGTCCCAACGGCGCACGCGCAGGGAACGTCAGGACTGACGGGGTGACTGGGTTCACGCGGCAGTGACCAGGCACTCATACAAGAACGGCATTGAAAGGTTCTGAAACCACCCAAACGGCGAGCGAAGAACACGAGACTTCAATGATGGTTTTGACATGTTTTTGGGCAAAGAGCATCGGGTCTTTGCGTTCTGTTGGCCTAGCAGTTGGAGGCCATGGGCCACATGATCGGATTCAACTTACATCACGCGCAGCCATTTGCTGATCTATCAGTGTTTGATTCAAACGATGCATCCAAACTAGTTAGTTGTGGTTTCATTTTTGGTGAGTCTGGACCACAAAGCCGGTTCTCACTTGTTCAATTAGGTTGAAGCCCGTGGTTGCCACTAGTATATAGTATATAACTGTCCAAAGCATCAAGCACTAGAGGAAGGATCTACCCACCTATTTGTTCTCTTTTAAGCATCCAGTCGCGGTGAAAAGCTTTGCTCCGACTGAAGCACCACTGTTTTCCCCCGGCAGCGGTTCTTTTCGTGGACCGACGCCAGAGTGGGGGGTTCAAGCCCACCCGCCTGCAGCGGGTATGGCTGAAAACGTCTCAAGTCAAAAGGCCCAGAAGTATGGTAAGAACATGTAAGAAACATCCCTTGCAAGGTTGAAATAATAATCCTGTTGATAGGTGCCCAACAATCAAAAGTTATGCTGGCCAACTCAAGTCAAAGTTTTCAACACACAACTATTGCCATGCTTCTCCTCCACTAAGGGGCTTGCAGTCAGACCTCTGAAGAATCAAAGCTTTGCCGGCGCTACAGTGAAGAGCTGGGGGCCGGGTGCGCATTTCAGGGCTCAGGAACCAATCCACTAGACAGTTGTGACGATGTGCTTCAATCAAAATCAAATCATTCCCAGGCAGTACCAATTTGGGCAATCATGATGAAGAACCACAGGTTGGCTTGTTGGTGCTAGCTTCTTTTGACCAAGCCAATGGTGCAGACAAGGATTCCAGAATATATAGTTGACGGAAGATATTGATCCCTGTGATGGGAGCCCATGTTTGCTTGATAGACAATCCAGTGCCCTCGTTAGGAGGTTCCACAGCGCACGCTTTCCAGATCATTTGCAGTGACCTTCTGTTGTTCAAGCAGTTGGCACAACTCTAATCCTGCAAGTGCTTCACGTCGATATCAAGTGTTTGACGTCGATCTTCTGTTACAACTCTAACTCCACAGCTACGCAGACAACGACCAGACAAACGATCTTGGCACTTCTTCGAGTTTCTCCACAGCGACTCCTTCGCTCCACGCATACTCCGAGCATCCCAGCACCCATCGGCGGATCGGGCGAAGGGATCGCCCATTGGCGGATCGGTGGATCGGAGAGGTCGGTGGTTCGTTGGTTGAGCCCGGCGAGTGAAGAACTCGCACGTTTGTACAAAGGAAGTGCGTGGCGAGGAGACCTCGACCGTACGCGGACCCACACAGACCCTAGCGCGGGACTCATGGTCCAAGCTTCTGTTTGCGGTGCAGAAGGGTTTAGAGTGCCCGTGTTACTGCTGTAAATTGAAGACATCCAGAAGTTGTTGGTCTCTTTCTGCTGCTCAGATACCCCATGATGACCTCGACATGGTCTCCTATCATCATCACCTCTTGAATGGAGCTCTGAGTACTGACCATCTACTACGTATATGCATACCTGGACCCTCAAATGCCTTTTTTGACGCAGACAGATGCAGCAAGTTCGCAACAGAAAACATGAGTCAAAAAAAATGACGCAGAAGTGACAAACAAACAACGCAGAAGCACATAGAATGACACCAAATTGTTTGTTGTGTTTAGTGTTTGAGCTACTCTCGCAATGTATATATGTAATATACACATATAGGTATATATATATATATATTAAGTATACCCAATAGAGCATATGGTCCCAATGTCAATACTTTCATGCCTTTGCTATCAAAACTAATTGGAATGGTCCATCGAACAGAGGTGAACCTAACCCATCCGGCTATCCTTTCACAAGCAGAAGTGCACTTTCTGTGGGTTCCGGTTCAGGTGTTGTCTATACCTAAGAAGTCAACATGTTCATGCCTTTGCTATCAAAACTACCAGTAACTGTGAGATTTGTTGAGAAGATAGGAAAAAAGAGGTATGAAAAGGTCACATATTCATTGAACATGTTCAAGCAGTGAGTTGATGGCTTGTCAATGTTTTTTAAATGGGTATCATTACTATTACCCAACACTGCACACCGATATCGAGGTGCAACTGCAGGTGTTACAGGAAATGATGTGCTCCAGTGTTGCACATGTTTCAAGGGGCCCTAGGCAAGCGAAAGCAACACTACATAGGGCCACCAGGATCCAGTACAGGCAATATGAAGAACAGTGGTTCCTTTTTCGCGAAGACACAATGTTGGACCATGAAAGCTGGGCCACTTGTTTGATAGAAATCGGGCATGGCAACTCCAAGATTCCGGTAGCTTAGTTTCAGCCCGTTTCAAAAAATAGAGCGCCGGCTTTAGGATCGCCCGAATTCTGACAGCATTCGCCCTAAAGGCTACGAGAAGAAGGGACATGCACCAATAGACTGCCCATTGCGGTTTGCGGATTCAAGAAAGGAGCTAGTGTTAGTAAGAGATATACAACTTGTTCGATGCTGAGGAAACCTTAGAATCTTGGCGCGTCTTGGCACAATGGATTTGAAGACATCTTCAACAAACATGTGACTAGTTGGACTCAATAAGCTCTCCGGACCACAGCTTTTGTTTCCACAAGCAGGTCGGGATGGAAGCCCTTTTTAACCAGCAAGCGGCAAGTTCACCAACTTTGGCAGTCCAATCTTGGTCATGTGTCCACTGCCCCTTCTAGTTCTTTTACAGGCCACCAAGTCCTTTGTTCAGTGTCCAAAACAACGTTTCAATCTGGTGTTGCATGGTTTTTTAAGGTACCCCACTATTGGCCAAGAACGCCTATTGAGCTCTCCTTTGTGGGAGGTGAGTTGTTTTAAAAACAACTAAACTACAGTAAACCAACCACCCTTCTTCATGCCGCTCCTGCCTGGGCCGCTCCGCCAGGTTCTTGGTGCCAGCGGCCAACGAGGTCGGCCCAGACGTGCCGCCCCAAGCACCGTTGAGAGTGTTTGCATGTGTTTGCCATGTGACCTTTGAGTGTCCAAGACGAAGATGTGGAAACATATCGAACGTTCACGTTCGTTTTGCAAGGATGAACCATCCACTGTAAAACGAGCAGAAGGACTATAATTATGTATAACTATACTTACACTGTGTAGCACCTCTGCACGGATCACCCTGCATATTGTCTCATCTCAGGTTTGTCCCCACAAAGACAACGACGAGTTTTATACTAAGCACAAACATGGTAGCAAAACAAACACCGAAACGATAAACAGGACGAGCCTAGAATACTTTTCCGTGGACAATGGCCCCATGTCCTGTACTAGCTATGCTAGTCTGGAGTTAGCTCTTTGCCAGTTCTCCACAGCACATTTGTGGATGCCTTTGCACACGAATGTTCACTGACGCAATGGCCCACACATGTTGCAACAAAGTTGCAAAAGGGAAAGGTAGGGCACATTTTCAGACAACCTCCTTTGGCATGTATTATCTACTTGTGGCTCCATTGGGTCTTGATTTTAACCACCCCAACAGGGTCCTTGTTTTTGTCCAAGGTTTGATGGATGCGCATTTATGTGCAATCTACCCGTTTCAAGGGTACAGGATTTTGACACATAGACGGAGATGCATAGAAAATATAATTATATATATATTATAATATATATATATACATATTACAATATGCCCTTGACTTTGTCGCAGTTGTTTGTTCTCTTGTCAAGTTCTCCTATTGGACAGCAGATGGGCCCCAAACAATTCCACTTAGCACAGAAACAATTCCACACTCCTCCTCCTCGGATCCGCGATCGATCCGGCACAGAAATCGACCCGGATCCGGTGTCCTTTCGATCGCTTTCGAGTCGCCGGGACGATCACCACTCTCCGCGTGGTCCGCAGGTGTTCTTCCTGGAGCGTTTGTTGGTCCCGCCCAACCGCTTTCGACCTCCCGAACCCGTCGACCGCCCGGGCCGCCGAGTGGAGAGACTGGAGCGAGCGGTGGACTCCGTGCGCGAGAGAGCATGTGCCAGTGAACCAGTAGGCGAATTGGTTGTGTGGGTAGAGTACGGTACCTGTTACGTTTGATTGGATGGTAGAAGGTTGTTGGTTTCTCGGTTTTGTTATGTTCTTGCTGTGGTTACCTGTTTGATAGACCTGTTTGCCTGTAGAAGCTCAGTTAGGCCCACTTCATTTGAGTTTTTCCTTACGTTAGAGGTTCTTCTCATGAACATACTTCCACGCTTAGACGTTGTGTGCGTGAGCCTTTCGCTTCAGGGTCAATGCTCTTTTCGCACATGGGACTTGCACCACTGCGCACATTGAAGACTCCAGAGCTTCCGCAACAAGGGCTACCTATATAGTGATGAACCTAAGAGCGATGGCCTCCAACCTAGTAGCGATGGCCTCCAACCTGATAGCGATGTTCTCGTCCCTTAAGAATGTTCATGGAAAGTGTGTTCATTTCACACGATAGATAGAAGGACTTGGCTGCTCAGAGAGGAATGTGACCCACGATAACACGCCCATGTGCACTTCTTTCCTTCGTTTGCCTCGTCTTGGTCGTGTTATCACCTCGACATCCTACTCTGATCTTTATACATATATAGTCAGCAGCAACTCATGATGTGAAAATCACTATTCAAGTGGGTATAGTACTCTTCAATGATCTTCGGAATCTACATGACGTATGTGACTGAGTGCAATCTATAGGAATTGTATGGAATTGTTCCATCGATATTTGGGAACGCCTCTGATCCACTCTGTGTTACTATGTTTTGCAGATGCGTTAGAACTTAGAACATCAATCAGCCACACATGTCATGATTTGGGTCAAGAGCGGGTCAAGAGCC